TGACAGTCTTTTATTTATATAAATAACCACACCATTCTTTTTTTCCAAATTTGAAGCTATAAAATGTGTTCCTAATCTTGAATTTATCAAATATTTTTGATCTTGTGTTCTTACATGAGTTTCTTGTAAGCAAATTATATCATTATTAAATTGTCTCAGGTATGTAAATAATTTCTTCCTTTTCTGTGGTGAATTTAGTCCGTTCACATTCCAAGATAAAAACTTAATCGTCATGTAGATTTTTTTGAAGCGACGAGCAGAATTGCCGAATATCTTCCGAATCGGTAGTCTTCGGCTTTGCTCCCCCCATGGCTTCACATTCTTCTATATTGCTCTTGACTCCTTTCTTACATTGTTGTGGCTTGGGCATTTCCTGTTGTTGTTTTTCTTTAAGTTGCTTAGAAATTGCTCGAGTTATACGCTGATCTTTAGCTTCACACATCCGGGCTAAGTCCAAAGCCACTTCTCTTGTAGTCTTAGGTGGTTCAATCACAATTTTCGAAGGAAGGTCTAGCAGGGGCTCCTCCAGAAAACCTCCTGTAGCTCCCTGCATTTCGATTGCCTCTGATTCCACCTGCTTAAGCTGCTCTTCCATCTCTTGCTGGAGTTGCTTCTCCTTATCACTCTCCTTTATCTCCAACACAGTAGATGTACGTGGGGATGGTGAACTCTCTTTAAAAACATTAGAGTAAAATTGTTCCGCCTTCTCAACAGTGTTTAATCGGTATCTTTCTCCATTATACCTCAAGATTATGCCAGTTGGAGCATCCCACCGAAATGGAATTTGTTGTTTTTTTAATTCATTCACTAGAAATCCAAAATCTTTTCTATCTTTTAACATCTTAGGTGGTAGCTCTTTATAAACTCCAATCTGCGTTCCCTCCACTTGCACAGCAGAGAGAAAAGACTTTTGCAGAATATCATTTCTCATTCTTCTATCTGTGAAATATATCACCACATCTCTAGGCAACTGTCTTTGTCTGGCCACCCACGAATTCACTCTGTAAATTTTATCCATTTTGCAAAAAATCTCTTCAGGGCTAATCTTTAACAGCACAGCTAGAGCATCAGCACATATCTGTCTCAGATCTTGTCTATCGTTCTCTTTTATGCCTCTCAGCCTTATAGCAAATTCCATAGACCTGAACTGCATCATTGTAATTTCATTTTCAAATCTCTGTATTTTATTATCAGCATCAAAAAATTTATAGTCAGTTTCCTTCATTTTAACATCCATTTCTGATTTAAATTCTTCCACCTTAGCATCCTTTTTAATAATTGCTTCTGACAATCCAGACACCACTGTCATTAATTTTTTAGTCACCTTATCATACTTTTCTTGCACCACCTCTTTAATTTCTTTAATCTCCTGCTTAATTTCCTGTTGTGACTTTTCAAATTTCTCATCCAAAGCCTGAGTAATAAAATCCTTTAAGCTTTCAAGATCAATCTCTTTTTTCTGGCTCTGCTGGCTGGGAGGCTGCTGTTCAGGTTTACATGTGGGGGATCCCCTCCCTGCCGCCTTCCCTTCCTGTTTGGTCTGCTTAGAAGCCATCCTGCCACGTAGGCTACCTTTTCCAAAAAAGGAGATCCTTTTTCCCTTTCCTCTACCACAAAGTCCTCTAAAAAATTCCCCCAGGTTTAGTCAGATTAGGGGTGAAATTAAAATTGAAGCAAGATCAGGCTTGTTTTAAAAAAAGATTTTTCCTTTCTTTTCCTCCACTTGTTACAGACAGCGCAACTTTGTAGCTAGTTGAAATAACTTGCTAATCCACTCTCGCTTTCAGCTCGTTAATGCTGAAGCCGGGCGCCATTTTCAAGCAACTTTCACACATCCACTCTCCTGCTTTAAACTTAATCACAGGACTAGTAATACTTGCAGTTTCGAGGTTCAAGTTATTATTCCACCCTGGTTGTTTAACTTTACCTTGTTTTGAGTAAAAAGGTTGCTCCTGCCGCCTTGCTCTGTGCTGGGCAGACTCGTCCCATGCTGTCCGGAGTCTCGGCAAGCTGGAAGGGAGCCGCGCCTGTTTCCTCCCCAGAAACAGCTGTCTGGGGGCTCACAGGGGCTCAACCTGCTTCTCGCCCACTCTCTTCCACTAATCCTTTGGATTGGGGAACTTCCGAGCTGCTTCTCTGGATCGAAGCGGCTCTAACAGGCAGCGGGGCTGGCGGTCCAAAAACGGGACCGTCTTTCAGCGACAGGAAGCAAACCGGAAGCTTTGACCTTGATCTTTGAACGCTTACAGATTGAACACTCTAAATAGTTTTCGCAGTTCTTTACTTTGAGACCTTCGGTACATTCCGTCATTCTCTTTACAATGGGGAAGCTTATGTGTCCCAGCCTCCTGTGGAGGAGGTGGGCGCAGTTATCATGCAATGGCTTCCCGATAGATACAGACTTGGTGACATTCCCATTGCAACTCCCTGCCTCTTGCTGTACCCCCTCTGCTTCTGGACATTTATCTATTTCGTGGTTTGTGCTGGTGTCAATGCCTTCTTCCTCCCTTGCGTTGGGTGTGAAGCAAGGAAGTCCCTCATGTATGGTTACCTTTCCTATCTCTTTCTCTTGCTTGATCAAGTGTGCTTTTCCGCCCTTGAACCTTATTTCTATGTTTGTGTCCCGTGTCAGTTTTGTGATGGCAAGTACGTTGTGGGGTATCTCTGGCATGTACAGTACCCCTTTTAGATCCCCTATCTGTGTGATGTGTACGTTTCCCTTCCCTACTACTTTGACCTTGCTTTGGTTGGCTACCTTTATTTCTGAGTCTACTCTGTGAGTGAGTCTAGCAGCTCTGGGTTACAAGTAGTGTGGTTTGTGACCCCTGAGTCCAGGAGCCATGTGTTCCTCTCTACCTTATGTTTATCAGTTGGGTCAACGTGACTGATCCCGTACATAGAGCCTGAGTTACTGCCCCTGGAGTTGTCTCTGCGTTCGTGATGCTTCCTGGGGTTGGGTGACCACCCTCGCCCCCTTTCCTTTGGGTACCTGCGTTCAGGTGACCGCCCCCCTCTGCTGTCGTGCTGTCCCCTATCCCTATGGTTCCTGGGACAATCCCTCTTTAAGTGGTTCCTTGATCCACAAGAGTAACATTCTGAGGTGTCCCTGGCCCTATCTTGGAAATCCACCCTTTTTGTGGGTCTAGGATCCCTCCTGGACAGTTGGCAGTCCCTCCTCAGGGTGTCCTCTGCAATGAGCTGACTGGTTAGTGTGCCTAGTGTTAGGTATTGCAAGCTGAGGCTATTCAGTTGGGTTATGAAGCTGTCCCAACTGCTATCAAGAGAGTTTATGATTATGCTTATCATGCTCTCTTCAGTGATGATTTCCCCCCTCTGCATGAGCTCTGCCCTTGTAGCATTCATCTTTAAAATGTGCTCACTCACGGGGACTCCCGCCTTGTGTTTGGTGGAATGAAACTCCCTAGATATTCTAGTGGTTGTGGCTCTACTCTGGCTGTAAAACAGATTACATAGTTTTTGCATAACATCATAAACAGTCAGATTGTCCTCGATAGACGGATACATAGCAGATGGAATGGAGGTTAACATGATACAAAATGCCCTGTGATGAATACAGTCAGTTTCCAGTGACCAGGGCTTTTGGGGAGGTCTGTTGGCTAAAAACAGTGCATTCTCTCTCATGAGAGCAATTCTCAATTGCTGACTCCATTCTATAACATTACCCCCATCTAACTGTAACTTTGGCAAATTGGCATAATTTGCCCCAGAAATGTTAGTAAGGTTACTTACTGGGGGGAGCTGTCCATGGTCCAGACTGTGATTGAACTCACAATAAGGCTTTGGGATGTCTGTGATCATTCTGTACTTGCTTGGATCTATGTAGCTTGCTTCTCTTGTTACAGGAAGGTACTGGGCATGCGCGAAGCTCATTCCGCGCTGGAGTCCATCAGGTGAGGTTCCTGCTGTTGGAGCTCCCAGGCCTAGGCCCAGGCCTGTCGGTGGGAGGCTGGACCCACCCCCGGTGGGTCCGAAGGTTCCTCCTGAAGGTGGACACCACTGCTGGACAGCTGGATCCCCGGCGAAGAAGGGAAGAAGGTGAGGAGGCGACGCAGTCGTAAGTCGAGGACTTCCGCAGGTTGGCGGCGTGGCAGCAGCGGAGGTCATAGGTTGAGGATTCCCTGCACTCAGCGGCTTGGCGGTGATGGCTGCGGCGGCAGCGGATCGTCCCTCGTGGTCGCTGGTCCCTGGTCGCGTGGATCGGCCTGGTTGAGGTCGTGGCGCGGGTGAGTGGCCGGTTCTTCTCTTTTCCCTCGGGCCTCGCGTAGTTGGTGTAGCGGGTGGTGAGTTCGAGTCCTGCGGTTGATTCTTCCTGCAGGTGGGCGGTTTCTTGCGCCAGTTGTTGGTGTGCGCGGTGTCTCTAGTTGGTTGTGACTCGGTTGCCTGGTCGTCGTTGGTTGTCCTGGCCTTTTTGTGTCTTCCAGGATTTTTTTCTGATTTTTTGAGTACTGCAGGGGGCTCAAAAGCAGAGCCAAGGGCAGCGGTGATGGTCTTGATTGCTTTCTGCAATTGGAGATCGGTAGGTGATTTTTTTCTTAGTTATTGTGGTTTCTTCATGGTCGCTTTCAGAGTTGGATTCTTCGTAGTCGCTTTCTGTGTCCCCCTCGTCTGTTTCGGGGTTCGGGCATTTTCGCGCCAAGGGATTCAAATCCTTGCTTCCCATTGGCTGGTGCTTGTCCCAAGATGGCCACCGGGAAGAGGGCACGAAAGTGGATTCGGCCAGCTCGGGATCATCGGGTTGGGGTGGCCTACCCTTTTCTGCTTGCTTTTCTCCCTCGGTGGTCTTTGGGGCCTCAATTGCTGCTTCTTGCTGCTCAAAGAGGCTTTGAAGGTCTGCGATGAGGTTTTCTTTGTCGCTGCTTGCCTCCATCAGTTTCAGGATGGAGAGTTTGAATTTATTCATTTTCTGTGCTGTTTCTTCTTCCAGGGCGGTGACTTTTTTTGATGGCCCCTCTTCATCTGATTGTGAGTCCAGGCTGGAGTCCTGCTCGCTTCTAGCTTCTGCCTCCTCCATGGCTGTGGCTTTGGTTGCAAGTTTCTCAGCCATCTTTTTGGTAAGAGCTCTGGTCTGTGCTCTGTTTGCTTCTTCAGGGTAGGTGTTGGGTTCAGTCATTATCTGGAGTTATGGGCAACAGCCCTCTGCTACCATTTTGTTAAAGATGGATCTAGCCCAATAACTCAAAGACAAATTTCAATTTTTTTCTGTATTTTTATTGTAGGTTTATTGGCACTAAAAGTCACTGACCTTGTACCTTTCTCTTTCAGGTATGGAGCTTTTATACCCAGGAGGAGGGGCAAGGAGGTAAGGAGTGGTTACAGGGGTTATGGGATATATGGTCAGTTAACCCTTGCAGGGCCGGGTGATCAGGGAGGTGTTGTAGTTAGACATTTACCATGACATCTCACACACCTGTACCTGAATCCAGAGCCAGTATATGCCCAAGTCCATTTCACTGAACAGAAAGGACGGTTCTTTTAGCTCTCAATCAAGAGGTTCTGAACCACTTTCAAGTCAATGGGAACAACAGCATCACCAGAAGAATAAGGAAGCACTCTTCCAAATAAAGGATTATTGAGAAGGGAGTAGAGTACTGCTTCCAACTGGACTTGTATTTTTTATAGAGCTTATGTAGATGTAGCCCAGCTGGAAAAGACATCTGAAAAATTGTTCTAAAAATTAGTTCAGTAAGCTTTGTTATTTAATTATGGTATTGGCTAAGTCCAAATGGCTAAGCTCACCCAACATGCTTAGCCAGGGGTGAAATCCACCAGGTTCTGACAGGTTCTGGAAAACCAGTAGCAGAAATTTTTAGTAGTTCGGAGAATCGGCAAATACCACCTCTGGCTGGCCCCAGAGTGAGGTGGAAATGGGGATTTTGCAATATCTTTCCCCCAGGAGTGGGGAAGGAATGGGGATTTTGCAGTTTCTTTCCCCTGCCACACCACGCCCACCAAGCCACGCCCACAGAACCGGAAGTAAAAAAATTTGGATTTCACCATTGTGTTTAGCCCACAAACACAGGTAATCCTCAATTTATGACCACAACTGAACCCAAAATTTCCATTGCTAAACAAGTCAGTTATTAAGGGAGCTTTGCCATTTTTTACAACCTTTCTTGACACAGTGGTTAAATGAATCAATGCAGTTGTTAAATTAATAACATGCTTGTTAAATGAATCTGGCTTCCCCAGATTTGCTTGTCAAAAGATTGCAAAAGATGATCCCAGGACACTGCAACCATCATAGAGACATGCCAATAGCCAAGTGGATGAATTTTGGTCACATGTCCATGAGGGTGCTGCCACAGTCATAAGTGTGAAACATGGTAATAAGTCACTTTTTTTCCAGTGCCTCTGTAACTTCAAGTGGTCATTAAAGGTATGGTTGTAAGTTGAGGAGTACCTGTAATGATTTACACACTCACTGACTGAATTCACATAATACTGAGTAAATATTGAATGATATTGAAATTTAATGAATGAATGAATCAATGAATGAATCAATGATAATAATATTGAAATTGAAGGAATAAATAGGTACACCAAAACTAAATAAACTGTATCTTTGTTTAGTGGGACATATATGCTTGAGGAGTTCCAAATAGCCAAACTTTCTGGATACTACTTCTTCTATATCCATTTTAAAATGTATCTAGGATATTTTGAACATTTTCAAAATTTCAGACCAGTATGAGCATTTTGAGTCTGTAGAGATCTATAGTCATTCAACTATTATTTGCCTCTTTGGATAGCGGCTGAGCACAAGGAACATTACTTTCCCCCCATCTTTGTAAAAGTAGAAGGGAATAAGATATGGATAGTCCTTTACTTACAACCATTCATTTAGTGATCATTCAACATTACAGCGGCAATGAAAAAAAGTGATTTAGGACCAAAATTCCTTCCTAAAACAGTCACAGCATTCCCACACATTATCAATTGGCATGTATGTATTTGTCACAGTTTCAGCATCCTGGGTTCAGGTGACAACTACCATATGCTTCTGACAATGGGGAAAGTCAAATTTGCTTAACAGCCACATTATTTACTTAACAAATGCAGTGATTCACTATGAGCCATGGTGGCTCAGTGGTTAGAATGCAGCACTGCAGGCTAATTCTGCTGACTGCTGACTGCCAGCAGTTCGAGTCTCACCAATCTCAAGGTTGACTCAGCCTTCCATCCTTCCTAGGTCGGTAAAATGAGGACCCAGATTATTGGGGGCAATATGCTGACTCCATAAACTGCTTAGAGAGAGCTGTAAAGTACTGTGAAGTGGTATATAAGTCTAAGTGCTAAGTGCTATTGCTAAGTGACTTGCTTAACAACCATTTTACATTCGGGCTCCAATTGGGGACATAAATTAAGGATTGCCTGTATTATGATTTCCCCGTGGTTCTAGCCTCAGAATATGGAAAGGGTACCATTTTTAATATAATGCAGTGATACATTGCCAGTTTGCAAGTGAAATTGCTATCTTGAAAGAGATTTTCTTTGTCCACAGATACACAGATCCCCTTGTGCAGAGATATACTGAAATATTTCACAATATATTGGTTGAAAAACCATCTTCACAATACTTGAATGATCAAGATGAGACTCAGCTCGCACAAATAATGATATTTTCATCTGGAATACTTCATGCATAGACAACAACCGAGATCTCTCATTGCCTGTATAAGATTTCACAAAGGGTTAGCACAGGTGTGTGAATTCAGTTTCTGAGATGTTGACATTTTACTAAACAATAGTCAACACCAAGGGAACATATCAAAAAAAAAAAGAGGAAGGCATGGTGCCCTTGACAAACTGTTAATTATGTTCCTTGCAGCAATTAAATGTTCAATATGAGCTTTGCCACCTATTAACATATGCATGGAAAAGCAGTTTCACTGAGTAATTGCAACGAAATATTTGTTTGGAGTAATATCATGTTTATTGTCATGCACAAGAAATCAGGAATCAAATATACGTTTGTCCATGCTATCTCTTTACAATCTGAACTACTAATGATCAAGGCAAATTGGTGGTAGATTAAGAGTCACAGGAATTCAGGGTGGACTAGGCTTAGATCTCTTGTTGATATGAAGGGACTCAAGACTGATGACGTGCTTGACCCCTCCCTCAGACTCAGTCTCCTACATAGGGGTGGGCTTCAAAAATTTTAGCAATGGGTTCTCTGCCCAGTTGCTGGGTGGGCGTGGCCATGGTGGGCATGGTCTAGTCGGCTCCCTGCACCACAGCGAGAGGGGGCGTTTTTGCCCTCCCCAGGCTCCGGAGGCTTCCGGCCTTCCCAAACATCTGGTAGGCCCATTTTTCACCCTCCCCGAGCCTCCGCACATGCCCTGCACTTACTTGCATCCAAAACGGGCTGTGTGGGGACTCCTGGGAGGGGAGAGGAGGGGAGGGGAGGGGCAGAGGGGCCGAGCCAGGAGTGGGATTTGGAGGTTCTCCAAACTGCATAGAATCTTAGCTAGAGGTTCTCCTGAACTCTTGCGAACCCCCAGCAGCCCACCCCTGCTCCTGGATGGGTGCCAATGAATACTTTGCACTGGGCTAGGAATGTTCTCGGAAGAGTCTCCAGTAAATCTTTGTAGTAAGCAGCTGGAGGTCTTGGGAATCAGTGCAGCGGTCACCATAGTTGGCCCTGGGCTGAGGTGCAGCAGGTGATGGAGGTTGCTGGGGAGGCATTTGTTGAGTCAACACTTTTACCTGCTGAAATATCTGATGCACATTTGCTGTTAAATTTCTCATCTTGTCCTTCAAGTCATCTTGGCACCTCCCAGATCGTTTGTTGTAGCTGCAGCTCTGGGATCTGATGCCATGCCGTGGGTCTTCTGGATTCTGTGAAAATTTTTTGTGTTAGTTCGGATTAATGCCAGGCACAAGAAATCAGGAACCGAGTACAAGTTTAATCCATGCCATCTCTCTACAAGAATCAGAACTACTAATAGTCAAGACAAATTGGTGGTAGATAAGAGTCAATGGAATTCATTGGTAGATAAGATCTGGCCTGCAGGGCTGCCCTGGGAACAGCAAAAGACTGGTCCGCAGTGCCTCTGCCAGCGAAAACGGATGCCCTCCTGAGCTCCGTTTTCGCTGACAGAGGATTGCAGGAAGCTGTCACAGCTGAAAATGGAGCTTGGAGCCTGTTTTCTCTGGCAGAGCACTTGGGCTACCACCGGCGCCCCCGATACGAGCTGGCCATGTCCACTCCAGCCCCCTGAGGTCAAACACAACCGACCCTCAATGCAGCCATCAACGAAATCGAGTTTGACACCCCTGGTATAGGCAGAGTACATGACTTTCAACATAATTGGAAAAATTGATCAGGAAAGCGTAGCTTTTCCCTTATATATGATTATCATCCAAATAAAACTTGTTTACGCACTAGCCAAGGATCACAGGCGAATCAACCAAACACCTTCCTTTCATATGTATTCATATGTGACAGTGCTGCTACTATGGTTGCTATCAGATGGCTGCTTTCAGATCAAACGCTGGTCTAAACACAGACAGAAAGATAACAATTTGTCTATTTTCTAGTTGGATAGATTAGAAAAACGTATTTTAGCTTTCAAAAAATGCTCTGTTGCAAAGGAAAAATTACCTAAGGTGGCAAGAATACAAGTCACGGTTGAATCCATACCAAAATTCCAATCACATTTCACTTTGATTTTTTTCAAAAGAAATATTTGTGTGCTATTTATACCTACGCCTTTCTTACAGAGGTGTCACTCAAATTTGTGCAACATTATAATTAAGTTGCCTGGTGCCTACTCTGCCTGGTGCTTCAACCAAGTGCTTTAGAATGCCTTCTTGCATTTTCCCTGTGTTATTTCTCCTGTTTCGCAGTGCAGTATCAGCCTAAGAAGAAGCTGTCGTGCTGATTGGTTGAAGTGGCAGAGAGAATTACTAGGATGATAAAACTCAGCACTTTTCTCCAGTGGTAAAATCCAAATTTTTATACTACCGGTTCTGTGGGCATGGCTTGGTTGGCATGGTGTGGGCTTGGTGGGTGTGGCTTGGTGAGCGTGGCAGGGGAAGGATACTGCAAAATCACCATTCCCTCCCCACTCCAGGGGAAGGATACTGCAAAATCTTCATTCCCACCCCATTCTGGGGCCAGCCAGAGGTGGTATTTGCTAGTTCTCTGAACTGCTCAAAATTTCCGCTACTGGTTCTCCAGAACCTGTCAGAACCTGATGGATTTCACCCCTGCCTTACTCCTTCTTTCAAATGACCATAAGAATGGCCATTATTGAATCCCCTGCTATCAGTGACCCATTCACAAGCAGTGCATCCGCTTTATGGGCTTTTGACGTCTTTTCCTGTTACAAAGTAACTATAGTCTATCAGGGACATTATTTTTTTCAAAGTAAGGAGTCTTTCTTGGCTCTTGAGTGGCATGCTGTAGCTGCTATCCACTACTTAGTAGAAAGGGAAAAAATGATCTGACATCATTAACTGTGTAGTGGATGCAACTGAATCCCTCTTGCCTCTTTATGACTTCCTGGACAAGTCCCTGCAGTTTTCTTGGTGGTTTGTCACTGCCTTATTTCTAGGGCTGAGAGAGAAAGTGACCGGCCCAAAATCACCCAGTTGGATTTGTATGTAAGGCAGAACTATATTTCACAGTCTCCTGGTTTCAGATACAGGGTTTTTCACTACTATCCCAAACTTGCACTCACATTTAAATTTGCTTGTTAAATATGATTAATTTAATTATCCTTCTCATCTTCTCATTTCTCATTCTTTTTCATCTTCTCATCTTTCCTACTATCTTCTCCTATTGGTATCTTATGATTTATTACTTGTTATTTGTATTTTACTATTAATGATTGTAACTATGGTTTATGATCTATGATCTATCACTTTGTTGTTTGATTGAGAGTTTATGCACCAGAGACAAATTCCTTGTGTGTCCAATCACACTTGACCAATAAAGCTATCCTATCCTATCCTATCCTATCCTATCCTATCCTATCCTATCCTATCCTATCCTAATCTAATCTAATCTAATCTAATCTAATCTAATCTAATCTAATCTAATCCCTATCCCTATCTTACTCTACTGTTTTCCAGTCTATGATACTAAATATTACAACTTGGAAATTATTTCTGGATTCTCTGAAGGTGTGTGTGTGTGTGTGTGTGTGTGTGTGTGTGTGTGTGTGTAAAAATTGAGGCTACATAAAGTTCTAAATCTTGTGGTCTGTTATTTGGGATTGTGTTGAAGTCAAGGCTGTTCATGTAGTCCATTACTGATTAATCAAGTACTGACCAAAGACAGCATCTCAAATCCTTTATCCAGCCTTCAGGTTTAGACAATAACATGTATCACATCTTTATTTTTCTCAGTCAATCCTATTTATTCTTCTACCATGGCTTGTGTGCACAGTATGCATCTGAAAAATGTTGTTTTAGACTTTCCTCTCTTAAGCTGATGGCAATAGCTTAAAAGCAACAAATTAAGAGGAATTTCCATTGAGGCAGCCAATTCTGGTGGAGTCCAAAGAATGAAATCAATCTGCCATCTCATCACTGTTGATATCAATATTTGTCTTCAGTTTGAACTAATTCTGTTGAAAAAACAAAACTATCTGCAAGAGAGAAATAGAATTTGTCTGAATATTAAAAGAGCATTCATTCCAGAAAGAAATTAGTCATAATGATAAAAGAAGATATGATAGAAAAGACAAAAATGAGATTGAAATCTAAACTGGATTTGGATGTAGAATAGGAGAAAATATTAAATTTTATTTATGGGGATCAAACAAGAAATATGCAGATATCAACTATGTCTCTATGATAAATATTTTCATATCAGTCATAAACAGACTCCTAAATTTCATGGAACAAATCCTATCATCGTCCACTAGCAAGGACTATAATTGAACGTAATAGGGATTATAAAATAATGGCAAATGGATATCTAAATTTAGAGTGCACTATGCATGGTTGCCTTTCCCAGTCTGTTGCTTTCCGGATGTGCTGAAACTTATGGTAATTAAACACATCTGGAAGGAAAACAGAAGCTGTCCAAAGCTGTCCTGAAGAGAGATATAGAAGGCATACCAGATAGAGACGATTAGGGAAATAGATCCAGGTTGGCTGTTGCAGCAATTATTCATCTTACTCGATGGTCTCTTTCAAATTTTATCTATCAGGAATAGGAAGCAAAAGGGACTTAATGAAGGCAAAGTGAATGATCTGTGACATGCCTCACTCCAGGTTATGGCACATGATCCAAATGAAACATATTATCTAAAATAGAAATGATGGCATCTACATCAAACAACACGGGAGGGATTTTGATAGAATCAGGTTAATCAAATCCCAACATTAGCTCATGAATATGAAATCATAGGATTATCACGTGTGGTGTGCAAAAATCAAAGGCCCTATCAAGGAAGAACACTATTTATTGCTAACTTCATGGAAAGTGTATGATTGGTTTACAATACAAATGGTTTACAATAAAAAAATATTTACATTTTAATTTAGGAAAGCTAAATATTTTAAACTACATTATTTATTTATTTATTTAACCCAATGGTGCGTTTGCCTTGGTTCGGGCAAAGCAGTAGTGGTGGCAGCGGGAGGCTCCGCCCACCGGCCCAGCATCATCACGGACACTCTGCGCATGTGCAGAAGCACTGCGCGTGAGCTCCCAGTTCCGAACCACTAGCAAAGGTA